GCTATGTTCAAAATTTCAAAGGATTTCGTCAAAAAACAAGAAAGATATTGAGACTTTAGTTGCAGCCAATCAGAGCGAAGTGCACGTGCATGCGCGTGAGATCTTGCTATTTTCACCATGTCGTCATGTCTATACTACTAATATATCCTCACATTATGAGTTTCAAAGCATTTCATCTAAAAATAGAATAATAATAAGAAACAGAGTAAAAACAATATGTTCCCCAACTTCGTTTGGGGAACATAATAAGAACAAACAGAGTAAAAACAACATGATCCCAAACTCCTTTAGGGGAACATAATAATAACTACATGAGCACGGTGACCATACCTTCTTGTAGAAGTCCATTACATCTATCTATGTTCTAAATCCCCCCCCATATGGTTGAAAACCAAGGGCGTTATACCTGCTAAAAGTTTCACCCAAAATCAGATTGCAGCGCACGTACACGCACGTGTATGCACGTGCATGGTGACCATACCTTTCTTGTAGTAGTCCATTATATCCATCTATGTTCCAAATCCCATCCTGTTTGGTTTGAAACCAAGGGAGTTATAGCTGTTTAAAGTTTCAGCCAATTAGATTGCAGCGCACGTACACGCATGTGTATCCATGTGCATGTTGACCATACCTTCTTATAGTAGTTCATTATTTTCTATTTTCAAATCCCATCCTTTTGGTTAAAACCAAATGAGTTGTAGCTATTCAAAGTTTAAGCCAATAGATTGCAGCGCACGTGCATGCACGTGTTTTCATGATAATTGCTATATATATATTGTAGGATATCCTAAAGCATGGCTATGTTAAAATTTTTCAAAGCAATTCGTCAAAAAACAAAAAAATTTTAATTTTTGTTTCAGCCAATCAGAGCGAACCAGTGCATGCGCGTGAGATTTTGCTATTTTGACCATGACATATTGTCTATGCTACTAATGTGTCCTTATATTATGAGTTCTAAAGCATTTCATCAAAAAATTAAAAAGTTACATCTATATCAATGTAATCGGAAATTTAATGTGTTGCACTTCCGCGCGATTCCAGCCACGTGCGCGCAAAATGACCTTCTTTCCCGAAAATCTCATTACATGTCTACTGACCCAAAAAACATTTCACCTTAGTCTGATGTGTATTTACAAGATCACTCGCGGAAAAATTTTCCCAGGAAGAAAAATAATAAGAATAATAATAATAAGAAACAAAGTAAAACAAATGTTCCCCAACTTCTTTTGGGGGAAACTAATAAGAAACAGAGTAAAAAAAATTTTTCCCCAAACCCCTTTTGGGGAACATAATAATAATAATAATAATAATAATAAAAACGAGAAAAAACAATATGCCCCCCAACTTCTTTTGGGGGAACATAAAAAGAAACCGAGTAAAAAAAATATGTTCCCAAAACCCCTTTTTGGGGAACATAACTAGGGCTAATTGTAACGGGAACCGTTCGTTCCCCAAACGCTCCCCAACTTCCTTTGCCTTATTCCCTGTAACTTCTTTATAAAAACAAACGCAATACATTTAAGACTTTAACAAATTTTACCAGAAGTACTATAGTATTCAATTTCAGCATCGCACGCATGCGCATTTGAATGCATGTGCGTAATGACCATACAGTACGGCAACGCGGACCCCGTATTTCCCGCGTCCCCGCCGCGGTATAATCACAACGCGGTATTTGGCCAGGTAGACAGGTAAACCGCGTTCCCTCCGCGGGGAAAATTTATCACTTATTCCCCCCCGCGGTTAAATCATCGATCAATTACTGACAATTAGTATCGTAAACAAACGGGGGTTTTCCCCCAAATTTAAATTTGGAATTTTCCCTTTAAAAAAAAAAAACAACAAACAAACAAACAACAAAACGAACAAACAAGCAAACAAAAAAAAAAAAAAAACAAAAAAAACGTGTGTTTATCAATAAATTTTGCTATGAATAAATTTTAAAAAAAAATAAGTTTATTTTTGTTTTTAAAATTACATATCAATCTTTGAAATTGAATAGAAAATTTCATTAAATTGTTACGTCTTTGCAATTGGTTAATTATTTTATGTTATTAATAATCTTCAAGAAACAAAATTAAATACTAGAAATTTTAATTAGTTTTTTTTTTTAAACTTCATATTATATGCAAACTGTAATAAATGTTGAACTCAGACTTTTAAGTTTCGATGAACGATTTTCAGCATTATAGTGCGACATTTAACTCCGGACACGACATTTGTCCGGAGTTTCGCCAACCACTTTTCAAAAGATATGTGGAAATTATTTATGTCATCTGATGGGATTTTTTAAAACTTAACACATGAACCAAAATTTACACCTGATTATCTTCTAGGTAAAAAGATATTACACCTGAAATCAAGAAATCCCATGGGATAATGGTGGGATTTTTTCTCCTAACCAATATCCCACCATTATTCTGTGGGAGAAAAAGGTATTCTGTGGGATTTTTTCTCCCATAGAAGTTTAAAAATCCCATAAATGCTTTATAATGGGACAAAATATCCCATATACTTGTTTACAGAAAATAATCTCCCATCTCTTTATAAATGTGGGATTTATCCCATATTCATTTCAAAATAGATAAAAATTCTCCCATGGGATAAAGAAACAAAAGTTTTAAACTAAACAGAGAAACTATTGAACAGTTTAACTACTATTCATTATTTATTTTCATTTAACTTTTTAAGTTATGTGTTTCCTAAACCATTTTTTTTTTAATTTCTTAAAATTAACCAATTTTGGGGTAATGTTTAATTTTTTCAATGATTAAAGATTTCACATGAAATAGCACTAAAATCAACAGTGAATTTATCTCTAAAATTTTCAGGGTTTTGGGGGGTTTTTTTTAAGTAAAAAGACAATTTCCCTTGTATGTAGATTACCTTATTTTCTTCCTTTGAATGGGAAAAATAAAAATTACAATTATGAAAGAAATAATTTTTTTTGTTTATTTTCCTTCTCATCATTTAGGTTAATTTATTGCATACGTGCCATTTGTAAAGCTTTACAACATGATCACGTTGTTAAATCTTTGCCTGTTTGTTGCACTAAACTGATAGGTTTCTAATTAAAAAAAATCACGACATTGGGTCATATCAATCATTCTAAGATTCTTAGAGAGTTTTAAAACTTATTCAAATGCACAAACTGTAATAATTTACCTAATTTTTACTTTTAATTTTCTTGATCCTAATCATGCCTTGTTTTGTTCCAATGACAGCTGGAATTAATTTTACATACAACGAACCCGATCTGACAAATGTACAGAAAATAATGGAAAAAAAATTCAACCATCTTCAATCATTATGCACATTTATTGGTAGATTGCATCAAAAAAAATTCAACTACCTTTTCACTAATTTCAAAACTTTCTACCTACACCTCAGAAACATATCAAGAATCGTTGACAGTTTATTGAACCCGTTCAAAAATAAACATGATGAAAGGGCATGGATCCAGAATATTTGCGGTGGTACTCTAATATGTTTCATATCATCCAGTAGAAAACAAGTTTTCCTTAGTTCTATTACTTCTATTTAACGTCAGTATGCACCTTGATTTTGGACACCCCATAACACATAAAAGCCACAGTTAGTTGATGCTCACTGTTAATACCCAAGCAGATGTGAATATAGCATAATGAAATCATATAAAAAATTGAGTATTCAACTTACACCTCAGCAATCTGTGTGTAATTTGAATAAGATGTTAGATCCGCAGGCATATTCACTAAACTGACTGTATACAGTAGTGACTATGCGAGCGGATCTAACATCTTATTTTAACTAGACAAGTTCAGTGCCTGTGGCTTAAATTTATTAAACTTCTTTCAGGAAGATTTTCAATTTTCTTGTCATAAATGCATATTGTCAATTATTAGGCTTCCTGTCAGTTTGTCTAGATCTACATATATACCCATACCCTACCATTCTTGCATTGTGTTCTATGTATTTAAATATCATAAGCATACTATGACGAAATACTACACGACTTCATTTTCTGAAGAAAAACTGACTGCGCCCACACCGGAGAGCGAACTCCAATTGTCAGTCCAATGCGCTATGGATTACGCCACAGACGCCGTTATGAATATCAATGTTCTTTAAAATATGTACTTAAATTCAAATATTTTACACTTAAATAGCTGCAGAACTGTAGCCCCACGAAAAAATATATGTTGACAGACCAGAGAGCTACAGTGCCACCCAATGAAAAAACTGTATATTTATTGCATTCAAAAAAGTGTGCTCGGTTCTGAATTAATTCCTCGAAATTCTTACCTCAATTCATTGCAAAACAAAAGGCCCATGGGCCACATCGCTCACCTGAGAAGATTTGACCATTCCGTTCCTTACAAGATTTTCCTCTTGTAATACATATTGTGACCCCATCCTACCCCACTGATCATAATTTAGAAAATTTGAAATCTTCACTACGATGTGATGCTTTGATTCCCCATTGTAAAACTTTTAATCCCCAATGTGGCCCCGCTCTATCCCCGGGGGTCATGATTATAGCAATTTAGAATCTACACTACCCCAGGATGCTTCCACATAAGTTTCAGCTTTTCTGGCCCAGTGATTGTTAAGAAGAAGATCATTTTCAAAGATTTTTCCTATATATTTCTATGTAAAACTTTGATTCTCCATTGTCGCCCTGCCCAACCCCCGGGGGACATGATCTGTACAATTTAGAATCTACACTACCCCGGGATGCTTCCATATAAGTTTCAGCTTTTCTGGCCCAGTGGTTCTTGAGTAGAAGATTTTCAAAGCTAGATTTTCCAATATAATTCTATGTAAAACTTTCATTCCCCATTGTGGCCCCTCCCTACCCCCTGAGGATCATGATTTGAAAAATTTAGAATCTACACTACCCAGGTAACTTCCACACAAGTTTAACCTTTTATGGCCCAGTGGTTCTTGAGAAAAAGATTTTTAAAGAATTATCCTATAAATTTCTATGTAAAACTTTGATTCCCCATTGTGGCCCCGCCCAACCCCCAGGGGTCATGATTTGAACAATTTGGAATCTTCACTACCCAGGGATGCTTCCATATAAGATTCAGCTTCATGAGTTCCCTATTTCATTGAATAAAGGTACACATCCCTTCATTTTACATTTAAGGACATACGCAAGGTACCTTACCTATATACTAATAATTTTTCAAGATATTCTAAATTTAAACTTTGAATACATGTACGGTCTACCATATTACAAATTTTTAGACAAAAAATCAGCATGCATTTCCAGGGATTTTGAACAGACATTAAAGCTTGAACATGTTTGCATTATTCAAAGAAAAATGTACAAAAATTACAAAACATATAAAATTCAAGCTTTTTTTTCATCAAAATTGCTTTAGAAGAGATTTACAAATCCATGTATAGACAATAAAAATATTGCACACGTCCTTCTTTTAGTGGAGCTCTTCAACTCCAGGGAAGAACCCAATAAAGTGCAAACTATGCTGCGTATGACCTTAAATGCCTGTTTATATAAGAGAATAATAAGTTAAAGAACTTGTTTTAATCAAAATAATAATAAAAAACTTATTTAATCCTTTAAATTTAATTTTTAATTCAGAAATTTGACTGATGAATAAAAAGAGTAATATACAATAAAATACTTATTAAATTATTTCTCTTGGTTCCATTCATTAGATATTCAATATTCCAGTCAACACTCTTTACATGAATGAATTATCAAAAGTTTTGTCCTTAAAGTTTTGGATCCACAGATCATGAGATGATGTCTCCTTTTATGTGTATGTATCTGTATATACTGAAAAAAAGCAAGTTGCTTTGTGATAAAAAGGATAAACCCTAAGTCTCTGATTAGGCTGCAGCTCTACTGGTCTGTATATGTATAACAAAGAAAAAGTAACACTTGGATTTGAAACTTTGCAATAGGCAGCAATAAATAGAATTATGTATCTAAGTGTAGTCTACTTGTGTTCCACATTATATTGAAATCATACCAAAATTATAGGAGGAGTAGCGTTTACAAAAATTACAGACAAATGGACAGATGGACAGCTAGACGGATGGACGGGGGACACCTTCCTATTGCATAAGCTCTTCTGATCTCTGACCAGTAGAGATTAAAAAAAAATCAAATTTGATTTTTATCAATGTTAAAGAAATAAAACTGCGAAATTCAATTGTAAATGGTTGGTTGCGTACTAATTATTCAAAGTAGTTTTTGTTGTATGGTTTGAAAAATTTTATTATTCATTCTCTCTTTTCTCACAAAGAATTACCTTTGCGTTTCTTGTATTTACAAGGGGGACAAATCTTCAAGTGGTACATGTACACTATATGTCAGCTACTATACCTTCATTTTCTATGAAAGAAAAAAATAGAATAAATCAAACAATACCAAATACATGTATAATAACAAAGCATGGATGGATTAAATTTTTCATTATTAGAAAATGAATTGAATATCATGAATATTGATCACTCAAATTTCTAGTTCCAGCCAAAATGACTGACACTTTACCGGATAATTTACCCCTACAGAGGACGAAGTATAAAACTAAAAGTATAAATTATTTTCATCTATCAATGATCAGTATACCATAAATGAAACTTTGCGCATGTTCTGCATTTACCGGTATTATAGAAGTTTTATGCCCTTGAGAATTTTTCATGAAGTCAGATGATGCATATGTCTGTTTTTTTTTTCTCTCTGTGGTAACTCTTTGAAAGTAAACTGAGTTGATTTCTTAATAATTCTACCAGAATGTAAATTAGGCGGGTCAATAGGTCAGGAGCTAAGAAAGCCTAATATGCATGAAAATCTCATGCGCACCTGTCTCTGTGGCTGACGCTAAGGAGGCCAAATATGCATGAAAATCTTGTGCGGCTATCTTTCAGACTTTGTGTTTGACGTCAGTGGGTGAGGACTATTGAAATTGGCATGGGAGTCCTTGACGTGTAATTTAAATCTACAGTACCTGGCCATAAGTGAGTCATAATTGCATTTTTACGCTATATATATTTCATTGAAAACCCTATTTTTATAAAAACTTTTTGTGAAGTCAATTTTAGCTCATTTTTCATAATTTTTTTCATTGAAACATGCAGAATTATTCAAATTTTCTTATCTTAATTGATAAACAAAATGATACTTAAACCTTTGAGAATAAATTATAAAATATTGTCAAGACAAAATTTGTATGTCTACATTATTGCAGGTTATCCTGCAACATTCACAAAAACGTAGTCTTTATTTCTTTTAAAAACATCCAATATCCTATCAATTCCAATAAAAAAGTCATATTATTAGTAATAAAGTTTGAACTTTTTAAAATTTCATTTCCAATTTATAATAGAAAGAATATTTTCACAAATAAATATGTAAAAAAGAAAAGGTCCTAGTATTTTTGTCACTTATGATTTACTTACACATAAGCATCTGATATCTGATGTATATTTTTTCCCCTCAAAAGAACATGAACATAACTTAATAAATAAATGATATTTCTAAATACCGGGTATGTATTCATGGTATAAAAATGAGTTTAGCAGTTTAAAGAATGATTTTTTACTCAAAGTTTTACGACTGTTTTCAGATACATATTTAATATCAATTAAAAAAAAAATTGATTACATCAATAATCATGTGGGTACATGTCCTATGTAAACTTCAGAGGATCAATCAATTTTCTAACAGAGATTTAGTAATTTGATATTTGGATAGTACTTCTAAACAATATAAGTAAGAGTTTGGGGGTTATTAGTAACCGGTATGTCCATCATGACATGCACTATAAGCACTGACCCCCATATCTCAAAAATTATCTTGACAGCAAAAAAAAAAATGTACTTGCAACACATGCAATGTTTATTAATCCCTAGTACACTACAGTAGCAGGATACCATGTCTGAGAGAAGATAATTAATTTTCTTATCAGTAGGCCTAATGCTGATGACTGTGATCAGGATACTTCTGAACTGTAACTTGCAAATTACAGAAAAATTTAGACATGACAATATATTTTTTTAAGTACAATCATCAGCTAGTGTACATATTGAGGAAATTCGAACGAAAGAATAATTATTCCGATTTTCTGACGATTATTTACTTTGTTAACTTGTATAATATACTACTGAATATCCCCATCGACTGCTAGCTCTGCAGATACTTTATCATTTGTTTACAGGGACAAAAATTCATAACATCTGAAGACAAATTGTTTTAATCAGCGAACGAGAAATCAGAATGATCTATCTTTAATCTTTATCTTAAGACTTTAACAAAAAAGAGAATCTATAAGCCATGTATTAACATGCTTTTAATGAAATAAATAACAAATTTTATAATTCTAGATCTACTTACGAAAATTGAGCAGGTTTCGTTTACAAACATCATGATCATCATCATGATCATCATGTGGAAATTCCTCGTTTTTTTTTTCTTTGGATGGTATTGGGTAATTCTAGGAGTAATGCATCCTTCTGCGCAGAATTTTAAGAAGTGAATCCATAGATAGAATATTGCGGCTTCTTTTATTTATTGGTCTTTTTTTTAGTTAAACAATGCACAGTTCACGAGAAAACAAAGAAATGAAATCAGGCCTATTTTTTTTTTTTTTTTGTTGTAAATACTGCCATGGGTAATAATGGTAATTCAATTGTCCGATACCAGAACTATTAACATTCTATATAAATGGGACATCGTCATGATCATTGAAAACATTATAAGAAGAAGAAGGGGTAGTGGAGGGGATGGGTAGTCTCTCTGTATCTCTAAAATAAAATGTTTCCCTTGCAAAGTAAATTTTATTTGCATGATCAGCGGGATATTCACTGAGTACAAATGTAAAAGTCCAGTCAATAAATAGCCCCAATAAAGCCCTTTCTTCTTTTTCTTCACGACATTTTGATATATTGTTAACCTTCTATGATGTTCAAAATTGTTTCATTCATCAACAATGCATCCTTCATGTGATAATCAATACTCAATAGTAACCTATAAATTGTTTAAACCGCATTTTTGTGAAACGTAGAATGAAAATTCAAAAGCTATACGAGTATTCAATTTACTTTCATAAATATAATCCAAGTTTTTCGAATTATTTGACAAAAGTTTCTATCATCTGTCCTTTAACACAGGTTAAGGGGGGGGGGTATACAATTTTATATTAATTGTTTGCTATCAATTATGAATCATATAAAATTGTTGGATTTAGTTTTTAAACTAAAAATGAAAAAAAAAAATATGACTTTAATCCGAAGGTTTAGAAAATCATGGAGTTTGTTTTTTCATGAATTTCTATTGTAAATTCAGTTGTTAAATCGACTTGCTGTGTGTTGATATCCCTTATGTATGTGTTGTTAATTCCAAGCAAATTGTGACAGTTTTGCTACCTGGGGAAAACAAAAGACTCTTATTTGCCCCTAGGTATCATACCCCATCGAGATCTGGGGTAAAGATATTGGTTTCTCGGAAGTTAGCAAGGGGAGGGGTGTTAGGGTTTAACAGCAGACTTGAGTTGCTTTAACAGAATAGTATTCAAACATTTGCTGCAAGAGTAAGAAAAACAGGTAAAATACTACAGAAGTTGATACTTTTTCTGTGAAATCAAACTCAGATGACAAATATATATATTAAAGAAAATCACATTGAGCTTAACTTCGGATCGACACCCCCGTACAAAAATATAGTACCGTCCAAAGCTAAAGCGTTTCGAAGTCAACAGAGTCAATATCTCGAAGTGGAGTCTTGTGACACGTTGATGAATATTTCCTATTATTGTTTTTTATCGATAAACTAAAATAAAATCATTAAAAATATTATAGCTTTAAATCTAGCTTAAATAATATCTATGCCAGATATAGGACACGATAGCATAATACGATACTCTTTACAGAGTTATGTCCCTTTCTAGAATGTAAGTGATTGATTTAAAATTCTTATGGTTCTTACGTTTACCTGATTTATTTTTTCATCTAAACAATAATAGCCAATGTAACTTTTATTTTAAGGAACATTGGACGAAAAGGATTTTTTTGAAAGTTTAGTAGAGAAAAATGACAATTTATAGATCCTTGATTTAAATTATAGTAAATAATCAAAATGGTCCCCTTAGAATTGTTGGTATATAAAGAAGTTACGATATTACTTTAACATGTTTACCACCTTGTTTTAATGTTATCATCTAAGTCACATTTCATTAAAATAATATCTCTCGTGGAAGATCAAATTGATTAAAAATTTGTAATGACAAGATAAAGAAAGATATAAAAACAAAAAGATATGAAATGGAATGTTAATGATGTATCAATTGTGAATTCCGTGTGAAAAGTAATCAGTGATCTTGTATTCAAAGTGTACAAACAGTTCATTTCAGATAAATTCAGAACTTGTGAAATAAAACAAACGGGTAATTGCAGGCATACTTCAAGTCACTGTTTGGTTTCAAGTCTCTTTCAGCTTTGTTTTCATTTACATGTATTTAAATCTAATAAGATTGTACAAACTCAGCATCAACACCAAGTACAGAGTTAGAGCGGAAAGCTAAAGATTCATACGTTTTATCGTTATTCAGTAAAACAAAAAATAAAATTAAAACAATTTTAAATATCAAGCAGATTCAATGTTGCCCCAATATGCAGATTTCTCTATTTCGCTACGAATATTATGAAACAAAAGTATAAAAGTTGTATGCTTTTAATTAAATTCTACATCAGTTGTGCCCACCTCCTTTCATGTACCCCACCCCATCTCAAAAGAGTGCTGAAAATGCTTCCAAAAGACTGATTGTATTTCAGTATCTTTGATTTGATTTCCTGAAGAATTTTCAAGAGTTCTAGAGTAATTTATTGATTGTTGTGAAAGAGTGACCAGATTGAAATCATTGAATGGATTCCGATTTCACACCTTTGAAAATATATTTGTAAAATTTAGCCTGAAGAAATATTCTCACACCTTTCCTCAGAACTTCAATGTAAACGATGGTATACACATATATTCAACAATTCATCTCCACACCGACTGATGATACATGAACCGTTTCCTGTTTATTATCAATTTGTGTATATACTTTGTTTTGGAGTAACTTCTCTAACAAATATTTTAAATCATTTTCCAAGAAAATAAAAAAAAAAACATTTTAAAGTGTTGATTAATAGACATAAATAATATGAGTGGATTTTTTTTTTTTACTGCAAAACAATAAAGATGATAATGGCTAACAATTAGTAAACCTTGTTTAGCTGTTAATTAAGTTTAGGTAACAATATGTTACTATATAGACTAATTATATCGTTAGTGCTATTATCACCAAAAAAAACAGTAATTGGTATCTGTTTCAAAGAAAATTTCAAAATACTTGTACATGTGAGGCTTCATGTTTGCTCATTCAAAGATCTGTTGCAGCTCATTTTCATAATCAAAAACAATCATTTATTCAACATCTTATTTTTTCTTATTTAACAGATTAAAAATTTACATTCATAAAATATACTCTTCTAACATTTCATTTTAATTTTGCCAAGTTAGTATTATTTTGCTTGCAATAGCATGCACTTTCTAAATGTAAAATGATAAATTCTACATTTCATAAAATATACTCTCAATCTAACATTGTTCATTTTTTTATTTTTCAATGAAATTTTGCAAGTTGGTATTATTTTGCTTGCACACATGTACATATGTAAAATGATAAATTCTATGAAATTTCATTTCCTCATTGTGTTATACTCCATCAATGTATTCTCTTGAATGACCATAACTTTTTTATTTCTCAATGAAATTTTGCCAAGTTCGTATTATTTTGCTTGCAATAGCATGTACATTCTAAATGTAAAATGATAAATTCTAAGAGGACTGAAATTTTCATAGGGAGAATCCATCATTGTGTTATACTCCGTCAATGGTATTTAGGTGTGTTCTCTTGAATGATCATAATTTTTTTTTTCTCAATGAAATTTTGCCAAGTTTGTATTATTTTGCTTGCAATAGCATGCATTTTCTAAATGTAAAATCATAAATTCTAAGAGGAATGAAATTTTTTTTTTCTCAATGAAATTTTGCCAAGTTTTTATTTCTCAATGAAATTTTGCCAAGTTCGTATTATTTTGCTTGCAATAGCATGTACATTCTAAATGTAAAATGATTTCTAATTTTTCATAGGGAGAATCCATCATTGTGTTATACTCCGTCAATCGTATAATCTCTTGAATGACCATAACTTTTTTTTTTCTCAATGAAATTTTGCCAAGTTGGTATTATTTTGCTTGCAGATAGCATGTACTTTCTAAATGTAAAATGATAAATTCTAAGAGGACTGAAATTTTCATAGGGAGAATCCATCATTATGTTATACTCCGTCAATCGTAAGATGTGTTCTCTTGAATTACCATAACTTTTTTATTTTTCAATGAAATTTTGCCAAGTTGGTATTAAATAGCAGGTACATTCTAAATGTAAAATGATAAATTCTAAGAGGACTGAAATTTTCATAGGGAGAATCCATCATTATGTTATACTCCGTCAATCGTACTTAGGGGTGTTCTCTTGAATGACCATAACTTTTTTTTTCTCAATGAAATTTTGCCAAGTTGGTATTATTTTGCTTGCAGATAGCATGTACTTTCTAAATGTAAAATGATAAATTCTAAGAGGACTGAAATTTTCCTAGGGAGAATCCATCATTATGTTATACTCCGTCAATCGTACTCAGATGTGTTCTCTTGAATTACCATAACTTTTTTATTTTTCAATGAAATTTTGCCAAATTGCTATTATTTTGCTTGCAATAGCAGGTACATTCTAAATGTAAAATGATCAATTCTAAGAGGACTGAAATTTTCATAGGGAGAATCCATCATTGTGTTATACTCCGTCAGTCGTATTTAGGTGTGTTCTCTTGAATGACCATAACTTTTTATTTCTCAATTAAATTTTACGAATTTAGTATTATTTTGCTTGCAATAGCAGGTACTTTCTAAAAATGTTAAAATGATAAATTCTATTTTTTTTTAGGGAGAATCCATCATTATGTAATACTCCGTCAATCGTATTTAGGGGTGTTCTCTTGAATGACCATAACTTTTTTTTTATCAATGAAATTTTGCCAAGTTGGTATTATTTTGCTTGCAGATAGCATGTACTTTCTAAATGTAAAATGATAAATTCTAAGAGGACTGAAATTTTCATAAGGAGAATCCATCATTATGTTATACTCCGTCAATCGTACTCAGATGTGTTCTCTTGGATGACCATTACTTTTTATTTTTCAATGAAATTTTGCCAAGTTGGTATTATTTTGCTTGCAATAGCATGTACATTCTAAATGTAAAATGATAAATTCTAAGAGGACTGAAATTTCATAGGGAGAATCCATCATTGTGTTATACTCCATCAATCGTATTTAGGTGTGTTCTCTTGAATGACCATAACTTT